CAGAAGAGAAACGAATTTGCATCTTCATTGACCTACAATACCGGCCTCATTTAACAGAAGAGTCTTATATTTTCTTTGTTTCTGTTTAACAAAAAACAGAATGCAATACGAGACGCTTTGGCCGTTGGCCGATGAAGTAGATCTCTACATTCTTTTATACCGTATTTTAATAAAGAAACGTTAAATACTATATCTGAACAGCGATATGTGAAAAACTACATTTTAACGTAAAATCCATATCAATTTTCAATACTTTTGGCGATGTTCTTTTTAAGAAATAGAGCCTTTTTGTTGCGTATATACTTTGATGAGCATGCCTCAAAACGTTGCAGTTTCCGCTTTTCTTTAAATCCATATGCTGTCTTTATACTAAAGTTCAACCAATACAAAGCTCAATAGCCACTCAGTAGTGGGTTATCGTTAAATTTATTATAATGAATGAGGTGCGTGATATGAATGTAAATCTTATGAGAGTAAGGAGGATAGATAATGATTGACATTTGAATTTAAGATTGTCGTGTTTAGGGAGTCATTTTTATTGCAAAGTTTTACGCCCCAAAGAAAGGTCCCTATTGTTGCACGTAAACATTAGTGGAGATCCCTCAAAAGGACACTGTTTCTGCTTTTCTGCAAATTCATGGTATCCTTTAATTTCATTTATTTTACTTTTCCTCTCACAGCTAATTAATAAACGCGAGGAAGCCGTCGCGTTGGCTGAATGAGTTCTAAGGTCTGTCATGGGAACTTTGTTCTGTTTCATCATCGGCGATTACTTATGTCTATGTTTACATCTCTGGGTTAAATTCTGATGTTGCTGTAATGTTACCCGTTGGTTACTCGTTTCTTCTTCAAACGCCAACTTGGAGTTTGTTTTTGTTTTGTTTTTATCATGTAACACCAAGCAAGGCAATAAAGCCACTAAGACGTAAGGAGTTACTCACTGTGAGAGAATATGAGAAAAAGGAAAACATTATCAAGAAGAGAGAACAATAAAGGAACAGGAATTAAGAAAACAGAAGATAACGATTGACATTGCATTTAAATTTTTAAAGATCGAATTTGGCTGGAAAGCAAGAGACCGGGAGAGAGTTCCACAAGCGAAAAGTGCGAGAGAAGAAACTATAAGTATAGAACTTGCGGTTACATCTAGCTATTTCAACTGTAAAATGATGAGACCTTGTCGGAAATCTAGTACTGCGCTTAAATTCATAAACTCTAGGTAGCAAAGAGAAAGAGTCGTCAGAACAATTACCATGCAAGTCGTTATAAAAAGGCAACGAGAAACTAGGTAGGAATGTCAGTGAAGCCGAGATTCCAGGTCATGACCAATATCATTGCAGATTCCTCTTTGTATTTTATTTATAATTTAAAAATTCATAGCAGAAGCACCAGACCACTAAGACGCAAGTGGTTATTCAGTGTGAAAGAATGAGATAATGAACAACATTATTAAGGATAGAGAACAATAACAAGATTAAGAAAACAGAAGATAAGGATTTGACATTGCATTTCAATTTTTGAATATTAACATTTACCGGAAATCAAGAGGCCGAAAGAGATTTCGAAAAGAGTGACGTGCGACAGAGGAAACGGTTAGCATAGAACTTACGGTTACATCTAGCAATTTCAAATTTAAAATGATGAGACCTAGCTGCCAATCCAGTACCGCGTCTAAGTTCGTAAAGTCGGTGTACCAAAGAGGAAGATTCATGAGAACAATTGTCATGAAAGTATTGATAGAAAAAAACATAAGGAAGCTACCCTACAGCGGTGGAAAAGTGGCTGAAGCCAAGATGTCAAGTCAGTACCAATATCATTGCAGATTCTTCTTCGGATTTTACCAAGAATCTCTAAATATTTAGCAGAAACACCAGACCCGATGTGACACTAATGCCCAATGCATGAACGAACGAATAATAGACTTATATATATATATATGTAAGATAGATTCAGGTGTGAAAAATTGTCTGGCATAACACGGTGAGCCAACTTATCTATTTACAGACCGAGCAATAGGTTCAATATAATGCTTTCCTGCTAGCTAAAACGTTTGCCCAACAAAGCGCAAATATTTCTCTTTCCTGGGGGTTAGCATCAGCCATAAAATTGAGGATTTTTGTTTTAGAGGCGTTAAAATAAACAAACCATGATTTACCACGTTGTGTCCTAATTAAAACTCCTACACCTATATTCATTACTTTTTCTCCTGCGTTCAAGCTGAAAAAGCCAATATATCAAACTGAGACCGTGGAATAATCATCAATAGTAAGAAGAAAGGATTTATGGCCGTCGGCAAGAAATACTACCCTAAATGCGATCAACAAATTAGAGACGTTAGTATCAAAGACAAAAATTTCAATATCTGGGAGGTTTTTTAACAGTCGACGGGAAATGTGACTCCGAAATCTGGGATAGACTGTTTAATGGATGTCAGTTATCAGTTATCTTCTGTTAATTCCCCTCTCCAAGTTCTCCACTTCCTTAACCGGAAATTGAACTCACACTCTTTGGGTCCTGTCGCTGGATCTAACTAACGCCTTTACCCCAGCGAGCGAAATAAAGGGTTCAGTTCGACATTCCAACCACCTGAAGAAGGCCGGAGCGTACAACGGCCGAAACGCTGTAATAAATATGGCGAAAAAGATGAGGACAATAGTCCGAATAATGTAAATAGGGTACATAATACTTCATCTCAGAAATATAGACAGACAATTGAGTTATATTATGATGTAATATACTGTACAGTAGTTTTAGTGTGATTTTCCATAAATTTAAAATATGTTGACCTATAAATTGTGACCAGAAATATTATAGTGCTATATACACTTTTATTTATTTATTGTTTTTATTAATTATAATCTAACAAATGATCTAACAAATCTTATTTATTGAGTCGCCTTTTTTGTAATTTTAATAACCTAGAGTAGGTTTCTGCATAGAATAATCACATGAAGGTTGGTAACGAACGATAATACTTAGAACAGGAACAACACATATAAGATTCGCCAGCAGCGCGTAGAAGTAGTCAACTGTTAGAAGTGAGTCAAGTGAATTCCACAATGAATCTCCGACTGTAGGATATCTACCAAGTGGCCCACGCGGTCAGATGTGGCATAAGGCCGAATTTAATGTGGGGTATCCGAGCCACTAGGCTCGGCCTAAAATATCCCGTAGACCCCGTATAAAACGTGGTCGGGTAGATGTTTCCCGAGACGAGAGACTCTGCCCTTCGACATAGTCTCGTCTGGGGATCATCTCTGTCCGGAGACAGAGAGTTTGACCAGCACAGCTAGAGATGAATCTCCAACTGCAGACCAACATACAGTATTTACTATTGTATTTATATGAATGGGGACATACCCATTATCGTCTGTAGGTATGCTACAGTTTTTACTTTTCGAATACAGTAAAAAAAATTGCATATTTTCCTTGTGATTCATAATCAGAATTCTGGTTTGAACATATTTTACATTCAATGTTTTTAATACAAAATTACATGGATTTATTCTTGAAAAATTTAAAGTCAGATTGTAAGCAAAAACGCGCGAAAATTGGATATTCCTGCACGATTTTTCAGGCGATCTTTAAAACTAAACGCTCAAAAATTGATGAAAGCTATAAATCTAATTTTTGGTGTGACTCCCGTTCACATCAAACAGCAGCTTTCACACTGCGTGGAATGATAAATTTCTGGGGGGAAAAAAAAGTGAAAAATCACCCCCACTCTAATATTTAGTTCATGGTATTCTCAGCATCCCCTTGTAAAATCACATTTCTATTACCTCAAGTCTTTTTTTTTTTTCATTACATATGTCTTCTTTAGTATTTTCATTGTTTCTATAGTACAATATAATGTACACGTATATTTTATAGAATTAAAACATGAATCACCATTAATCCTTCGGTGGTACATAGATAAATATCTGGAAAGGGGACAAATGATTCTTTTGACGTCTTACTCTGAATTGGCCATGAATATTGTCCATCAAATTTAAACCTCAATAAACTCACTATGCCCCACCCAAAGATTCTCTTTCGTTTCCTCTCATTTTTACTTCTCAAATGTGATTTACATGTTTGGAATCCGGCCGGAATTTCACTAATTAGGCCATTGGGCTCTTACTAATTAAGGGTTGGACCCTTCAACCCAGCCTTTCACGGTCACAATGAAGACACTCGGGTATCCGGCACACGACTAGTCGCTCGGTCCAACCCACTAGGTTTCAAGCCTTTCTTTTGAGCATCACTGAGGGATAATGAAAATAATAATGTTTAACACAAATTCTATTCATATCGTTCCCAATTCATTTTTTTATTCTTTTCTTTTTTATCATTTTTTCATTTATTCCTTGTGTCTTCTTTTTTGGATTCTTTCTTTTTTTCTTTTTTTTTTTTTGTCTTTCACTCGCTCTTTCTTTTTCTCATCCTTTTTGTATCTTTTTTCTTTCCGTCTTTGTATTCTTTTTCAATAACTTTTCTTTCTATTTCTTTCTTTTAGCATTTATTTCCTTTCTTTCTTTTTCTCTCTTTTGATCTTTCCTTCTTTTTTTCCTTCTTCTTTCGACTTTTCTTTCTTTTTGCCTCCTTTTACGTTTGACCTTCATTTACTTTAATCCTTTTTTATCGCTTCCTTCTTTCTTTTAAGCTTTTTTTTTTTACAGTTAGTTTTATTCTTTTCTTTCGTTCTCTTTCTTCCTTTTTCTTTTCTTCTCTTCTTCATTTTTCTTCCTCCTGGTCACTTACATTATTTTATGCTCTTGATTTCTTTTACCGCCTTCTTTCTTTCTTTTTATTACTCTCTTAAGCTTTTCTTTCTTTCTTTTCACGTTTTTCTATCTCTCTTTTCCTTTTTCTTTCTTTTTGTTCGCGTATTTATTTCCTTCTTTTTTCCTACTCTTCCTTGTTTCTTTCTTTTCACGTTTTTTTTCATTCATTCTTTCTTTTTACTTTTGTCTTAATTCTTTATTTTCACATTTTTCTTTCTTTCTCTCTTTTCCTGTTTTCTTTTTTTCTTTCTTGCTTTTTACGTTTTCCTTTCTTTCCATTCCTTTGTCTTTCTTTCTTTTCGCATTTTTCTTTCTTTCCTTTCCTTTTTCTTTCTTTCTTTCTTTTCACGTTTTGCCCTCTTTCTTTTTTTTGTCTTTCTATCTTCACGTTTTTCTGTTGCATGTTTTTGTTATTTCTCTTTTTCTTCTTACGTTTTTTTTATCCTGTCTGTTTTTCCTGCTTTCTTTTTTTTTTTTTTTTTTGCTTTTCCACTTATTGAATCAGTTTATCATTTTCCATATCTTTTGTTTTCGATCAATTTTCTTTTATTGACACTTTTTTCTCTATCTTTTTTTCTTCCTTACGTTTGTTTTCTTTCTTACTTTTTTATATTCATCGTTTTTTCCCGTTAATTCCTTCTTTCTTTCTTTTAATTATTTTCATCTTTTTCATGATTTTTCTCCCTTTTTTTTCTCCCTTCATTTTTAATATATTCTTTCTTATTTTGTCGGTTTTTTTTTTTCTTTCTGTATTTCTTTTCTACGTTTTTTTTTCTTCTTGCTTCTTTCCATTACTTATTCTTTTCTTTTCAGTTTGCTTTTTCCTCTTTTCTTCATAATTCTTCTGCTGTTTTTATATTTTCGTTTTCATTCCACTTTGATTTTCTTTATCTTTTTTGTCTTTCTCTCTGTCATTTATCTTTTTGCTACTATTTTACCTTTTCTTTCTCTCTTTCCCTTTCTTTCCATCTTTTCTTTCCTTCCTTTATTTTATTCATTCCTTCATCCTTTCTTTTCATTCCCTTTTTCTTTCTTTCTTTCTTTCTTTCTTTTGCTACTATTTTTCCTTTTCTCTCTTTCCTTCCCTTTCTTTACTGGCCATCATTTCCTTTCTTAGTTTCTTTTCTTCAATCTTTCTTTGTTTCTTTTCTTTTATTTTATTTCTTTTCATTTTTTTCTTTCTTTTCTTTCCTTTTCTTTCTTTCTCTCTTTCTTTTCATTTTTCTTTCTTTTGACTTTTTCTTTCCTTTCACTTTTCTTTCTTTTTGCGACTATTTTTCATTTTCTCTTTCCTTTTTCTTTCTTTCTTTCTTTCCTATTCCTTTTCTTTCTTTTACGACTATTTTCCCTTTTCCCTCTTTCCTTTACTTTCTTTCTTTCTTTCTTTCTTTATTTCCTTCTTTCTTTTTTTCTTTCTTTCTTTTTCTTCTTTTTCTTTCTTTCTTTTTCCTTTTTCCATTTTTTCTTTTTCTTCTGTGTTTCTTTCTTTAATTGCTTACCATTATCATAAACAAAATACAAGAAATATGTAAGTAATTTTTCTGTTGCCATGTATTTATAAAAATATTAAAATCATTCTGTTGCTCTGTATTTTATCATTCATGTATAATATATTTTAAATATTAAAGTCAATAAACGACATTCACCTCAACCTTGAATAAATTCAGATTTTTATTTCCGAAGTTGAAGCTAACATAACATTCTGTTGTTATTAAAACATAAGAAGCGTCCATTTTTTACGGACTAGTGACGCCGCCATAGAAATCAAGCGTGGGCAGATCGATAGTCTAAGTTCGTTTTGAATATATCAACGATTAATACCCTTAAAAAAACTGACCATTTTAGAGCGCCTCGATCTATGGGAATGGTTAATGAACTACTCTGGTTGACCAGTACTACAGAGTAGTTATTTCGATCCTCATCGGGACTCCTTTACTTGTAGTCTGGTATCCAAACTAAGAAAACGTTATCAAATAGCAACAACCTATTCAGTTTAAACAATTTTTTTTAACTTCTCGTAGATTCTTCCTCTTCTTTCATTTTTTATTCAATCATTTCCTTCATTTTTAACTCTTTTTTTTTTCTTTAGATTTCCATCTTAATTTCTTCCTCTTTTTCATTCATTCTTTCTATCATTTTGCCAGTCTTTCTACGTTTCATTTTAGTCTTTCTCTTGCATCCTTGCTGGTTTTCTCTCATTTTTCATTCACTCATTCCCTTCATTTTTTATTCACTCATTTCCTTGATTTTTAACCCCCCTTTCTGTACTTTTCCAACTACGTTCTCTTCTCCTTCATTCACCCTTTCTTTCTTTGTGCCAGTCTTTCATTCTGTCTTTCATTTTCATATTTCTCTTGCATCTTTCATCTTTATCCTTCATTTTTCGTTCATTTATTTTCCTTCATTTTTAATTCCTCTTTCTTTACCCTTTTAGCGTCATTCTTTTTTTCCATTTTCATTCCGTCTTTCATTCTTTTCGCTAATATTTCTTTCTGTTGTTCATTTTAGATTTTTTTTCCATGCATCATTCCTCATTATCCTTTATTTCTCATTCAATCATTTTACTGCACTTTTCTAGTTTCATTCTTATCTCTTATTCGTTCGTTCTTTTCCTTTATTTTTTATTCAATTATTTCTTTCGTTTTATATGTCATTTACTTTATTTTCATTGCTTCCTTGCTTTCATTTACTCTTTCTTTCTTTCTTTTTTTCTGAATCCTCATTTTCGTTCTAATTTCAGACGCTAATTGTCCTGATGACGCCCAGCCCCCGAACAGCTCCTGTCTGCGTTTCACCCTTCCGCAATATTGCAGAATCTCATTAGCGATTCCGTAATATCCTCTAGCCACTAGAGTCGACGTCACCGCAATTGTCCAACTCGCAAAGGAGCGATTCACCAAAAACGCCGTAATGGTCCACAATAAGAATAGCCGGGCTGATTATAATCTAATGATAAACTGCGTTACGCTCTATAAACGTCCACAATTAAACTCTATTCAACGCTGAAGACAAAAAATGTTTTTTTTTCATGAGACATTTATTTTCAAGACGAAACCTATGGGGCAATATCACGTAGAGTAGTACTGCGTCTGTCCGTTCAACCGATTTATATCCACACACACACATGCATGCACGTACACGGATATACACGCAAACATATTATAATACATGTATGATATAACAATAATAACAGAGACTTTTCACTAACGCTTAACAAAACACGTAGGCCAGTAAATTACGGGTGCTTAAAGCGTTTAAAGTCGAGCAGATTTTTTTTAACCAAGGAGTTCAAAGATAAAAAAGAACACAAGTGGTTAATGAACAAAATAATTCAAAATATTGATCTATTGAACTTCAAGATTCGATGATACCGAAATCATCAGTGCCGAATAAATCTATTGAATGTATTAACAGATATATTCGCAATACAGTTTGTCAATTAGCTATTATATAATACAATATAATACAAACAGACAGGCGCACACACACACAGATATATATATATATATATATATATATATATATATATATATATATATATATATATATATATATATACTAGCAGTAGAGCCTGGCGTTGCCCGGGATATAACAGTAAGAGATAGATCAAGTATCGACCATCATAAAGACTGAAAAATAAAATTGACAAAGATTATTGTTTAAGGTTGACGGACACGCATGTCTTAATTATTTTTTTTTTTTTTTTTTTTTTACGAATTGGTCAAACCCAAACTCAAACAAAAACATTGTTTTCAATCGTTATGAGTCTACCGATTGAATAGAATTTTATTATAAACAATTGTCTTGTAAATGGAATTTTTAAAGCATTCTGAATGTTAAAAATGAAGAAAAAAGTGTGCAAGAGAATAAGAAACATTACCTGACAAAAAAAAAAGTTTTGTTTTATCGGCTGAAAAATATAAGAAATCCGATGTGAGTTGTCCCACTTCCATTTTCACGATGTCTCTTAATCGTATTTTCAAATTGATTTTGTGCATAAACAATTATATTTTTCCCATTTTTGGCGCTGTTAGAACCACCACAAGGTAATTTTATGTAGTCCTGTGAATTTTGTTGAAATCGGTTGAAAAATGTAGGAAATCCGATCCAATATATAAACGTTACAGACACACACACAGACACACACACACATATACACACACACACAGACACACACACACAATCTGCGTTTTATAATAAGTAAGATATATATATATATATATATATATATATATATATATATATATATATATATATATATAATTCATCTAATTTAGAAGAATCTTAACAGAATGCAGAAAGCACTGGACAGCCGTTTCGTCCTATTTTTGGATGCGCACTGCTGATGAGTCCCCAAAATAGGACGAAACTGCCGTTCAGAGCTTTCTGCATTCTGTTAAGGATTTAATAATTTTTCTAAACTCGATAAGTAATTATGATAATTCAAATCTCCCTTAATTTATATATATATATATATATATATATATATATATATGCTATAAAATGACAAAAAATATTTTTATTACCACTCATCATGATAATAGATAAAAATAAAACTGAAAAACGGACCAGATAATCGGTTATATATATATATATATATATATATATATATATATATATATATATATATATATATATGATAAAAATACAGTTTTAAGATATGCTATATTTATGGGTATAAGTGATCAATATAAGTGATAGAAAATTTGAAAGTGGATGTTGAGGTCATCATGAAACGGTGATAGTCTGTTTCATGCTTGAATGTAATCTTCAGACCATTTGTGTTGTGTTTTCGCTCGACTATTTATATATGCTTGTCAGTGGTGCATTGTGGGTAGTCAGGTATATTTTGTTATCCTGACAGTTATTGGATGGGGCGATAACGGTTGTGTTTTCTAATGGCTTCTGAATAGAAATAATTGCGATTATTTGGAGCTCTTTTATAGTGTTGTTCGTTAATTTTTTACTCATTATTTATTATTGATGACGTAATTACTTGTTGTTCATTATTATTACATTTACTTGTGTTTATATGTTCATTCAGAGTTTGTTTATTTAATTTTTTCATTTGTTTATTTAGATTTTTAGTTTAGTTATTTTTGGGGTCATTTAGTTATCTTAATCATTTTAGTTTAAATTGTTAATTTTCTGTAAAGTATGTTATCTGCGTTGTATATCGCGCAAACATTTGTGTTTTTATTGGTGGTATTTTACAAGGTATATGTTTTTAATTATTGACTTTTAGGTAACGTAGGAAAAATTTGTTTTCGTATCTGTATTTTTAGATAATCTCTGATAGTTTATTTAATAACTTGTGTTGGTCTGGGAAAGTGATTATATATATTTTTCCTTCAGATAGAGTTTACTGTTTTGGGATTTCTTGTAGACCGATTCTAGTTTCCTTATTTTCCGTGAGGTTTTTAGTGTAATTTGGTTTTGATGTCCCATATATGTTTAGAAAATATTGTGCTGTTCACTTATTTTCTATTTCTAAAAGATGGATTGTGGGCGTAATTTCTCTATTTCTAGGGTCTTCAGTTACTCCTATGTATATTTTTCTTCGTTATCTACTGGTTTTATAGTGGTTTGGTATATTATATTGTTTTGCAAGCAATTGCCATTTAAGGGACAATCTTTCTTTTCTTTGCAGATACATATGGATTCGCTTTGTGCAGGTAGGGTTAGTAAGTAAAAATCTGCTACAATTTCACCGAGAATATGACACAAATAATAAAAATGCACAACAAAAAAGAACCAGTAAACTAAAGGCACAAACTAAGTAAACCTGTTTAAGAAACCACCAACTCACTCGGTAATGTTTCTGCGCGACCCCGAAGAGCATCACGGCACAATAAGATTGTATTTTCCTTTTTAAGGAAAGCACAAATCCTCATAACCGATCAGGTTTTTTTTTTTTTCATACAAAGGAAGACGTAGGTTCAATTCTTGCTGGAGAGCACATTTGTTTTGTTATGTTTTGTTTTTTGTTTTTGGGTTTTTTTTTTTTTTGTTTTTGTTTTTTATCTAAAAGTAATCGAAAAGATGTAATACACATTGCTTAAAGAAATAATGGAAAAAAAATATCCAATACAATATTCCTTGAAGTAATAAAAATGGCTGATTAAAAAATAAAATCCATTCATTCTTACATATATATATATATATATATATATATATATATATATATGTGTGTGTGTGTGTGTGTGTGTGTGTGTGTGTGGTTGGCAGCAATAGCTCCCACATGATGGTAAGTCATTAACTAGATGAAGACAATATTGTCACTATTCTCTTACCATTATTTGGGAGTCATTTTTTCCCACCCCATATATATATATAAGACATTTTTATGTTTATACATTCTTTTTATAGATACAAATGTTTAATTAAATGCTTTGTTTCATAATAAATAGTATTAACAACATTTACCGGCTGGAATGTCCGAGAAATTGTTATAAAAAAATATGCGTCCTCCGACAGGAATCGAAACTGTATCCTATACGGAACCGTCATATATATCCTGACGTGCTTTTACCGATTTCTCCATAGAGGAGCATTTCGGTTAACAAGGTCGATTTTACTGTTTTTAAAATACAATTTTCCATGATTTTCTCACGTACATTCATATCTGCTTGATGCGTATCCAAATGTAAACAAATGACGCCACACATTATGAAATGGGCAAAGTCCGACAATTATTTTAAGACATTTTTATGTTTATACATTCTTTTTATAGATACAAATATTTAAGTAAATGCTCTGTTTATAATAAACAGTATTAACAACATTTACCGGCCTGAATGTCCGAGAAATTGTTGGAGGACGCATATTTTCTATAATATATATTATTCTATTTCATAATGTGTGACGTCATATATATATATATATATATATATATATATATATATATATATATATATATATATATATATATATATATATATATATATATATATATTAGGAAATGGATTAAATCTGACAAATTTTTAATTTATTTGTTTAAACGTTGTTCTTTAAAGGCTACCGATATTTTAGCAGATGCTCTGTTTTCATTTATTTATTAAACAATATATTTATTTACATCTACCGGACTGAATATTTCGAGGAATCTTGTTAGAAAAATATGCGTCCTCCGGCAGGATTCGAACCTGCGTCCCCTATGGAAAACCATCATTAGATCTGACGTGCCTTAGACCAACACGCTCACGTAGGACCTCCTGATCAAACAAATATATATAAACGAATTCTATTAAATTCAACTGACAAGTTGTGTGTATGTTTTTTTATTGTATGTTTCAAACGTTTTGATAACATGCTACATATCCAAATCAAAATATTGTATGAGTTTCTTTTTTTTTTTCCTGTTTTTGTTCAAGTACTTTCAACCATCTCAGTCATTATCAAGAACTGGGTGTTGCAGTATAAACCACGGGCTCTGTGCGTATTGAATAAACACAAATACGCCTGTACCCTAATATCCTCGAATACGATTGGCCAAATATATATATATATATACATACATAAGCATATTGAATATTTTATACGTACGTTAAAATGTGTGTTGTTTCTTTTATATAACAGCTTCCAGTATTTTGAGCTTTTTCTTCAAGTAAGTGCTACATAATATTTTCGCCCTTATCTACTGATATGTTTTATGGTAATCGTTTTATTTTGATTGTTATATAATGATATATATGTGCATAAATTTCACTAAGTTTAGATAACTGACAGGTTAAC